TACCATTATACCATTATGGTTTCTTTATTAAATAAAAGTTAAGTGTAGAATGGAAAGTTTTTATTAAACATAGGTAACTAACTGTTGTTTTTTCAACTTTTCAATTTTCCGATTTTCCAATTTTCCGAATTTCTGATTTTTTGATCTAGAAAATATCGTTATGAAAAGTATCGCCCATCTTTAGTTATCTACCGGAAATTGCCAGAATTAGAAAAGAGTGAATTATCATAATTCACTCTAGTGATATATGGGTACCATATGCTTTTAGTTAGGAGGTAGAATAATAATTTACTATTAAGTGGTCGTGGACAAATTAGTTTCCGATTGAAGTAACTTTTTAATATTTTTTTTTGGTATGTGGATATCCCTTATAGAGATTGGGTACAGGTTCGCCCTTTTCCAATAGTTTGGGACTCCCGGATCATTAGTGCAAGTCAGGCTTATCATTTACCCACTAAACGCACCCCTGAGCAGGTAATATCTTTTACTTGTCCGTTGGGACTACTTTATTAATTTTTTTGAGTATCTATCGACCTCGTATGGTTGATTCTCCGGTCTCAAGTGCATTAACACGGCCAGTTGGTGAACCTAAAGATAAATCCAGCGGTGTTTATTATTTTTGCGCAGACTATTTTACTAGAAACATTTTTAACTTCAAATTATTTTTGAGTTACACAAAAAAGTACATTTCTTTATTAGTTAAGTTCGTTTCCATATTTAAAGAGACCAAAAAAAACTAAAATTAGTCATGTGCAAATTGTGCAGATGATTTTGCTGCTAAAACATAACGTCTAAATTGTTATTTTTTAGCATTTTAGAGATAAAACATTAAAATAAAGGGGGTTTTAGTAACTTTAACACGTTATATTGAGGATAATTTAATCCCATGTGAATTTTTAAAAGCTACATATTATGTTGGTACTTCTATATATCTGTGACTACCAATACCAAAAGCAATTCTGTGAATTCATTTTTCCTAGAGTCTAAGGGTTATGATGTTGGTACGACATGCAGTGATTAATTAAAAAGTAATAATTATGATATTTGGTTCTAAATACGAACTTTTAAGTACATTTTATTGTAGTGTACACGCATACAAGTACCAACAAAATATGTAACTTCTAAAAATGTGCTTAGTTTTAAAATAATATAAAAAATAATTAATTTTAGTAATAAAAATCATCTACTCAAAAATTAAAAGCATATGATTAAATTTTTTTGTGTGCTTTTTTCAAATATGGATACAAATTTAACGACTTGTAGTGTGTTCTTATAAGGATGGACAAATTTATAATTTTTTTTTTTAAAGATGGAACTGCATTGTGTTTCTTATTAATGCCTTAATAGATTATGGTAAGTTGTAGAAAATACATGTGCCAAATTTCAATAACATAATAGCGGTTGGTAAGTTATGAAACAAGAAAGAAATTGGCAAAGTTAATAAAACTACCTGTATCTCGGTTATAAAGTAAGAATATTTGGAATCATATCAGAAGCATAAAAAAATTACCTATAAGTTTGACTGTCAGATAGGGACGCTCATCGCCCTTAGCATATTCTAAAACAAAATCTAACAGAACCTTTAACTTCCCGATCGAGTCATCCCTATCGGTGCAACTACCTCGATCATTTAAGTACGCTGACTTCCATTTCCCGACCGATTTTGAGAACAATTAGGACAAGTTCTTGTTATATACCCCTCCTTATTGCACCTAAAACAAACAAGGCTCCTTTTCATAAAACTACCTGCCGCAACATACTACTGTTGCGTCACTTTGAATTCTGGGCTGAGGAGATCTAGAGGAATTCGTTGGCCGATCGTCCACCAAAGCAACATCCTCATCGGCCTGTACATAAGCTAAATCTGGCTCCAAAACTTGACTTTTCCTCGGTGGAGGCCAAACTTCTCGACAGCATCCTTACGAGCTTCCAACTTCCTACCCAGCTCTCTCAAATGTGCAATGGAGGTTACATCAACTAACGCCAACTGATTTTAATAAAATGGGGCTATGTTCCTAAGTAAAATTTGCAACTTTGTCTCATCTGGAACTAAACAAGTCAACCTATTAAAATACCCTAGCATCACCGCTAAATAAACTCCCATAGACTCATCAGCTCCCTGTGTTCGCCTACGTATCTCTTCAAACAACTTCTCATCATAAGTCGGCGAAAGATACTCCTCCTTGTGCAAAGTAACGAATTGGTCTCAATTGCTAACCTCATTTCGATAAGCCAAGTAAAATTGATAGGCTCTGCAGGCAAATAAATCAATACCAGATTCAAGTAGAGTCTCTTTAAATACGTGTCGCGCTACCCTCAGCTCTTCAACTCTTTCTAAAAATGCACCTAACGACATTCCCTCCTTATCACCAGAAAACGGGATGTTCCACTTGTTAGGCAATATGGGCTTCATCTGCGCAGCTGCAGTAGGCGGTATTGTCATCCTAGAGCCAGATGCTGTTGGACTTAAAGCAGCGTTGACGTGTCCAAAACTAGGCTGCTGTTGATGCACCATAAAACTTAAGTGAGGTGGTTCCCTCATCGCAATATTATGCTGCTCCGCTTTTGCATGTAAATCACCCAACATAGCCAAAGCCCTAGAACGAAGTGGTGGTGCGAGCGTCAATTTTTTCATACGCGCAATCCTACCCAAAATATGCCCTAACCTAGACTCTATTTTTAAATATGTACTGCTACCTGATAAGTCCCTAAAATCGTCAACTAATTTTCCAAGTATGTCCAACTTTTCTAACACTGCAGTCTGATCCTCCACCTCTGTGAAAGGATACGCATCTCCTCCACCGTACCTAACGCAATGCCTCTAACCTGGGCCTCATACGTCAGCTCGTCCTTACCAAGTCTATTAATCTGCATTCTATAAGCCATCTTAATCCTAGACTTCACTCCAAAAGTTTACAATTAAAAAAATCTGATGTATCCAACACATGACTTTCCTATCTAGTTATTATAGGCTTTTCCCGGTTATTTTGTACAACCTATTGTAGCACCTATATAAATGTTTAAAGAATAAACTAAATATGTACATTTTCCACATACATCTAACTCGAAACATTTTTCTATAGATATTCATTGAAAACGAAAATACTGCAAAATTTAAATTTAGCAGTTTTCCTTCAATTTTTCTATCACGGTCCATTTTAGAAAAATCATGTATAAACAAAAATTATAGGTATCGATATCGCAAACAACTTTTAGTTCAACAATTTTCTTAAAAATCAGAATTTTGTACATTTTGTCAAATTTCTCGAATACGGACCATTTCAGGAAAATTTGACATAAAGCAAAAATTATAGATAATAATATTAGAAGTAACTTTTATTTGAACAACATAAATAACAGATATATTCCATAACATACAAAAACGGCCTTTTATAATGTACCCCCCAGATGTTCCGACTTTGTCCGAAATCTGATCTTTTCACGTCAGGCCGAAATAAAACTTAGGTTTAAAATTTAATGTTTTTTCTTTTATCCGTTTTTGAGTTTTCTTCAAAATTCGAAATTTACACATTTTCTCAAATATCTCGAATACGGTCTATTTTAGAGAAATTATGTATAGAATAAAAATTATAGAGAATTATATTACAAACAACTTTTATTTGAACAATTTTTATAAAAAATTATTTTTTACATTTTGTCAAATTTCTGGAATACGGACCATTTTAGGAAAATTTTGTATAGAACAAAAAATATTGATAATAATATTGTAAGTTACTTTTTTAATTTTCTTCTTCTAACGTAAATAACAGATATATTCCATAAAATATAAAAATTACCACCTATAAAGTACCCCCCCAGATGTTCCGACTCTGCCCAAAATCTAATCAGTTCATTGGACGCCGAAATAAAACTTAAGTTTAAAATTTCCGTTAGATAATTTACTTAAAAAAGGATTCAAAATGGCAATGAAGACAAGAATATCAGAATTGTTTTGAAGAGTTTAAAACAGCATTAACATCTGATTTGTTGCTTACTCACTATGACCCTAACTTACCAATTACAGTAGCTGCAGACGCATGTTCCTATGGTATAGGTGCATGTATTTTATATACATTTTCTGATGCTATACGTCTCGTTCTTTAAAATCAGCAGAACAAAAATGTAGCCAAATAGAGAAGGAAGCACTTGCTTTTATTTTTGTAGTTACGTACTAAGTTTCACAAAATGATTTTTAGAAGAAAATTTATTTTGCAGACCGACCACAAACCCTTATTATCCATTTTTGATTTAAAAAAGGGAATACCTGTATAAACCGCAAACAGGTTACAGAGATGGGCACTTACATTGTTGTCTTATGATTTCGAAATATGTTTTGTATCAAAAAATTCGTTAGGATATGCAGACTTTTTATCCCGACTCATGGACGCCAAAACCAAACCAGACGAGAAATTTGTCATTGCTGCTATGCATATGGAGGATTCTATTAAACAAATATTCAGCGATATTAAAAAAAATGGAACCAAAGAACCAATGGAACCAAAGAAATTTATTTATTACGTTACTAATAATTGGCCGACCAATATTGATAATGAAGATATTCAACAGTTCTTTAACAGAAAAGATTCGGAACCAGTATCCGAAGATACATCACCAACATCACCAAAACAGAGAAAGACCAAAAGAAAGAGAATTGTACAGAAACACAAAGATAATGTCCTTAATAGCTTTAATCCTTCTAATAAGGAGATTATGCAGTTTCTTAAGAAGAGGTTTTCTGAGTTGGGTCAATCTGTACAATTTAATTCAGAAGTGATGGATGGACATTCAGATAAATTAGAAAACATGTCTAAAGATAATTCAGTGTTAAAAAAGGAACAAAAAGTCCTAAAAAATAGAGTTGAAGAACTTTAAAGGAAAATTGAGAAATTTAATCATTTTGCCGAAAAAGAGAAAGTAGATCAGAAGGGAAAAAATGTCATTATATTTAGTTTGTGCGTGGAAATTCAGTTAAAGATGATATTAAAAAAGTATTTAAAATAATGAAGTTTGAAATTAAACATAGTGAATATGGAATACAAACATTGCCAAGTAAGGAATCTAGAAAACTAGTACTAGTAAAATTGAAAGAAAAGTCAACCAGAGATAAATTGTTGGAATTAAAGAAAACGATAAAATTAGATACATTGGAATGTGGTATTGATGGTAAAAGCAAAATAATATATATTAATGAAAATCTACCAAAAAATGTCCGGATGTTGTATAATAAAGCCAAAACTCTTAAAAACCATGGCTATAGATTTGTATGGTATAAGAATGGGAATGTGTATGCTAGAAAAGATAAAGGGGACATGTTTATAATAATAAAACATTCCCGACAAATCGATTCTATCATAGACTCCTAATATTTTATATTTTTGTCATTAATTTGTTCTGTAGAAGTTAGAATTTAATCTTTTATTTCAAATGGCTATTCTAAAAAAATGTAATATTGGTCATGTTAATGTACGGTCCTTGATCCCTGTTGTTAATGTCATTAAATAAATATGACCTGGATGTTTTAGGTATAACAGAAACGTGGTTGAATGATGAAGTGGCTAATCATATTATTAGGGTAAAAGGATATGAATTTTTAAGAATTGATAGGGGTAATAATAAGAGAGGGGGAGGTGTATGAATATTTATTAAATCAATCATAAAGGCAATTATTGTTCTCGAATGCTCTGTTGTAAGAAAAGAACTTGAGCAAATATGGATCTCTTTCAAAATAGGAAATATCAATTTTACTTGTGGGGTAGTTTATAGACCTCCTAGTATTAATGCTAGAGATGTAATTCATGTATTAGAAGAATCAACAGCTTTTATGCTACCTATGTGTGATGAAAGTAATACTAACGGGTGACATGAATTTAGATTTACTAAAATCTAATAACACAACAGATATTTTTAGTGACATTTTAGAATCTTTCGGTCTGAGACGACTGGTAAATAAACCCACGCGAATAATAAAAACATAATCCACTCTATTGGATATTGTCTGTATTACTAACCCTAATTTAATTATAACTGATGTTAAGCATGTTGATCTGCATTTTGTTACTGATCGTCAACTTACATTTTGCAACTTGATTACAAAAGTGCCCAAGAAAAATGAGAAGTTTAAAAGTTTTAGAAATAATAAGAATTTTAATATATATAATTTTAATAATGATTTACATTCCCTAAATTGGAATAAAAAATTTTATTCCACTGAGATCGATAGGAAAGTTGACATATTAACTAATAATATTAAATATTTGTTTGATCAACATGCTCCATATCGCAGAGTACAAATCACGGAACCAAAAGCACCGTGGTTGTTAGATAGATTACGTAAACTAACGGGAGATAGAAACAAGTAACTGAGTAAATTTAAGCAGACAAGAGATCCAGATGATTGGGATGGATATAAGCGAGTAAGAAACTTTGTTACAATGACTGTAAGAAATGAGAAGTACGCATATCTAGAGCAACTAAACAAAATTGGTAATAGTAGGGACACATGGCGAGCTTTAAAATAGCTAAATGTGTATTCTAGTAAAAATTATATAGATATTTCAAAAGACATAAGTCATCCCGATTCGATAAATAATTATTTTGTGGACTTAGTTTTAGATTTGGGATGTGAAGTAGATCCCGATTTAGTTAAATATTACAATACACATAGAGTCTCAAATGGTCCGAGTATCAATTTACAAACTGGTTTGGAAAAGGATGTTTTAAATGCAATAGGAAGTATTAATTCTAATTCAGCAGATTCGGATGGTATAACAATAGATATGATAAAACTTTGTTATTTACATATTTTGCCTCATTTAACACACATTTACAACTGTTGTTTGACAGAAATTTATTTTACTATTAATTGAAGAGTGGCATGCATAGTTCCTTTGCCCAAAGTAACAATTCCTTAAGAAATCAGTTAAGTCCTATTAGTAAGTTGTCAGTCTTATCCAAAATTTTGGAAAAATTAATTTATTCACAGATGGTACAATATTTATCAGATCACAATTTATTTACCGAAAATCAATCTGGGTTTAGAACTTCACAGAGTACGGAAACTGCCCTAACTAAAATGTTGAATGACATAATACAGGCAGTGGATAAGGGGAAAATTACTAAACTAATTTTGTTGGATTACAGTAAGGCATTTGATACCTTAGGCAGAGAATTATTTTTAGACAAACTGAATTATTATGGTTATTCTGCAGGATTATTAAAACTATTAAAAAGTTACCTATGGCATAGATGCCAATATGTGACTATAGACAATAATGAATCTAGCTCAAAAATTATTGACAAAGGTGTGCCACCAGGCTCAATTCTTGAGCCTCTTCTTTATCTTATATATCAATGGATCTTAACAATAATGCTGTAAACTGTACAATAGATCAATTTGCTGATGATACTCAAATTTACAAGAGTTTCTTAGTTAATGAACTGGGTAATGCTCGCTTAGAGATAAATCAAACTCTGTATAATATATTCGAGTATTCAGTTAAACATGCGCTAAAAATAAATCCGGCAAAAACTCAAGCAATATGTTTTGGTAATGTTACCAAAGTTATAAAAGTTTGGGAATTTATATCGACACTAAATTGAGATTTAAGGAACAAGTTATATTCATTGTCCAAATATGTTAAAACTTTTAAAAAAATCTATATCGAAGCAGATCTTTTTTGAATGAATCTTTAAAAATACAACTTTGTGAGACGTTAATATTAAGTCATACCAATTATGCTGATTTTGTTTGTGGTCCATGTTTTTATGTAGACTCGTCAGCGAGGGTACAGAGAATTCAAAACTCGTGCGTTAGGCTCATTTTTACATTAACTTCTAGAGATCATGTTTCAAACAAATTAAAAGAATTGGGGTGGCTTAATATGTTTAGTAGACGAAAACTTCATGTCTTCCTTTGTACACAAACAGCTCAGAAATAATAATCCAGCATACCTTAGGAAAAAATTGACATTTAGCTCGAATGTTCATAACCGAAATACTAAAAATACTAGCTCTCTTGTTATACCTAAACATAGAGCAACTCTCTACAAGAGATATTTCTCATACAATGCAGTCTCTATATATGCAACTCTCTACCCGATTAATATAAAAATAAATCTCTAAAAATCTTTAAAACATTAATGAAAAAATTTCTTTTGTTTTAAAGTTTGTGTTTATATATTGTTAATTTTCTTATTGCATGTGTCTATATAAAATGTATATAAAATAACAATGTATATTTGTATTATATGAAATGTTTGTATTTGGTACTCGGTTGAGTGGAACAGCTTAAGCTGGACTCCACCGAGGCTTATTAAAATAAAGACGTTTATTATTATTATTATTATTATTATTATTATTATTATTATTATTATTATTATTATTATTATTATTATTATTATTATTATTATTATTATTATTATTATTATTATTATTATTATTATTATTATTATTATTATTATTATTATTATTATTATTATTATTATTATTATTATTATTATTATTATTATTATTATTATTATTATTATTATTATTATTATTATTATTATTATTATTATTATTATTATTATTATTATTATTATTATTATTATTATTATTATTATTATTATTATTATTATTATTATTATTATTATTATTATTATTATTATTATTATTATTATTATTATTATTATTATTATTATTATTATTATTATTATTATTATTATTATTATTATTATTATTATTATTATTATTATTATTATTATTATTATTATTATTATTATTATTATTATTATTATTATTATTATTATTATTATTATTATTATTATTATTATTATTATTATTATTATTATTATAATATTTGTTGGTTTTATGTGAAAAATATGCTCTTACGATAAGAAGGCAATGCATCTATTTTCATAAAAAATGTTTAAAAGTTCATGAAATATTGGAAAAAGTCGATTTTCATTCTGTACTTTCCAAGGGCTTAAACTTTTTGTGTGTGCACATTTACATTAAGGTAAGTTATGTTCCATCGAGAGTATATGGATCCGTTTATGACCTACCGTTTTGTTACACCCTGTTCTTTACTAGGTTTTCTTAAAAGTGGATAACTAACAAAACTGTTTCTGTTAATTTTACAAAACATTAGATTTACCAAATAGAAATTTTAATATTGTCTTTGCCACATACATTTTCGTCGAATGTACTAAAAAATTTTTTTGATATACCAAGAATAACACATTGAAAAAGTAATATTTTGGTGGAAAACATGTTACGTAATACATCACATGACAGAAAATTTTATTAGTAACTGTAACCTCCTTTTTTTGATTTCTACGATGAAAGTTATACTTAAGAGGTGATTTAGCTCAAATTGCTGATACTGCGTGGATTCATAAATTGACCAGAACAAATGAAATCAGAGTAGCTTGACTAGTTCGCGGGCCAAAGGCTACTTTACGATAAAATGAAAGATATTATAAAACGATAACGACAAAAATGTTGAGAGCCACCAAGTTTTTGAGTAACTTGCAAAACTTATCTTATTTAATATGTCCTGTTTAATTGAGTCAGTCTCTGGTACTTAAAGTTATCTGTATGAGTTCTGGCAAATAAAAGGAAGTGAGAAAATTTAATGCGTTCAATAAAAAAAGTAAAACAAAAATAAAATTTAACATAATAGTTTAATAATTAATAATTAAATCTGAATAAAAATAAATTAAATTTGACTGATAGATAAAAATGTTTATATGAATGAATAAAATTTACTTATAGATAATTCTTAATTGTCCCGACCATGTGGCATTCTAGTACGGTACTTCCCTTTTGTATTTCGTGTCATACACAATCCGCCTTAAGGCACTTAAATACTTGGGGCTTGGAGCCCGAAACTTGAAGAAACTACGTAACTCGCAACATCTCTTAACATCTAGGAGCAACTACGTAACTCGAACTTCTTGTTTCTTAGAGTTTCTAGGAGCAACTACGTAACTCGAGACTGCTTGAAGCGTAGATTTTAAAGCTTTCTGAAGCTATTTATTTCTTAGAGCTTCTTGGATCTTTTTGTTTCTCAGAGCTTCTTGGAGCTTCTTGTTTCTTAGAGCTTCTTGTTTCTTAGAGCATCCTGGAGCAACTACGTAACTAAAGACTTCTTGAAGCTTAGATCTTAGAGCTTCGTGGTAGCTCCAGGAAGCTCCAAGATCTAAGCTTTAAGAAGTCTCGAGTTACATAGTTGCTCCAAGATACTCTAAGAAAGGAGCTTATTGGAGCTTATTGGATCTTCTTGGAGCCACTTGAAGCCAATACAGGTTTAGAAATAAAAAGAACTTTAGTATCAGTAAAAGTACATATACATGCCAGTTTGGAAATCTAACGGACTTACGCA